ATTTAGTAATCACCTTTTAGCAAAGAGAATATGAAAGCAAGTTTAAGTTCTACCTGAAACTGCGAATACACTTGGGAAAGCATCATTCTTTATCTTCTGAACCAAACTATGGCTTAAATAAAAGGAAAGCTTAGGATGTCAAGTTTTTGTTAGTGGCTAGTCTAGAAGATGAAATAAAGGAAACCGTGGGGAGCTATGAACGCCTACCTCATGAAAAGATATAGCGATTTACTATTCTGATCGCCATTTCTATTCTATTCTCAATTACTATTCTGATCGCCATTTCGATTCTATCCTCTATTACATCTCGGATCGCCATTACTATTCTATCCTCTATTACTATTCGTATCGCCATTTCTATTCTATCATCTATTACTATTCGGATCACCATTTCTATTCTATCCTCTATTACTATACGGATCACCATTTCTATTCTATCCTCTATTACTATTCGGATCACCATTTCTATTCTATCCCCTATTACTATACGGATCGCTATTCTTTATACTATTCACTTTACTATTTCTTTATTCGGATCACTCTGCGGGAATCACGTTTCGAGCGTGTATTATCGAACAAGTTCTATTAGTGCGAGTGTTATTCGAAGGCGTTTGACCCAACTATTGTTCAACGGCATTACTATAATTGTATATGCGATTACAAAGTCTCTAATACATCGAGCATTACTAAAGTGACAACGAGTATTCATTGACATCACAAAAGTGGTAACGTGTGTTCGTTGACAGCACAAATATATTGTTACCTCAGTTTTCTTTAATCGATGTCACTGAAGCAAGGCAGTAGAATCACTAACATTCAAGGGGTCACTGGGTGTGGAAGAATTAGTAATAGAAACTTTACTTGTGAGCGGGAAGGAGAACAGTCGATAGAGGTTTACAGTGAATTTAAGTTTTTGGAGATTAAAGTTGGTTGGAATGTTCCACAAGTGAGAAGTGCGATAAAAGACACTGTTAACATAGAACTTACGGTTACATGTAGCAAGCGCAAATGTAACTTGATGAGTTCTCGAAGTCAGTCGAGTTCTGTGCACAAATTCAAAAAGTCTACCTATCATAGCGAAGGCGGGTATATATTTCCGCTTATTTACAGATAATATGGCAAATGGCCAAAACAAGGAATGGGAAAAGACGGCCTCCTTCTGTTTTGACATTAAACTTAGGTAACCACAAACACTGACCCAATCATACCGCAATATGCATAACACCAAAACAACGCATTCTTACTTAGCTTTCTATCTTAGCGAAGAGCTCATCAGAACAATTAGAATGAATGTATTTATAGAATAGGCAAAGAGAGGTAACTTTATGGCTGTGGGAATGTGACTGAAGCCGAGCTTCAAGATGAGGACCAATAATATTGCTGATTCTTCTTTAGATTTTCTCAAGGCGCTCAAGGTAAACAGCAGGGGAGAAACATCCTAAAATGTCTGCTAACCAGACTTAATCAAGCTAAAATCAGGATTATATTATGGGAAATACTGTTCTTTATCTAGTGCTTGTTAAATGCGAGAAATCTACGAAAGCATAAAATACAAATATTTACACGATTTATATGCGAACAATTGTGCTAATCTTTTTGTTGTTATCACACCTTTTTGGCCGTTATACACTCCGGCTTTCCGCAGGTGTATTTTGATCTGCGCATCCTTTATTTAATCTACGAGTTATAAATAGTACCATCAGCGATTATCTGGTACCCTCACCTGGCTTTTCTTAAGAGAGGATTCACTAGACATTTACCATATCTGCCAAAGGGTATATAAGCAAACGGTCATCGGATTGTAATAAAGGGTTAATTTCAGAATTCTTTGTAGGTTAGCCAGATTGATATACAGGGGCTCCTCGACTTACCTCGGAGATCCGTTCCAACGGAGTGACGTAACCTGATTTTGGACGTAGATAGAAACTCACCGACATAACCACCCACGAGTCTACCTTTGCTGGGGAAGCATAATGAAGGGCAAAATCTTTCCCGCCTAAAATGACACAAATTAAGAGTTAATGTTCTCTTAAGATAACATTTATCAACAAAGGTGGAAAATATAATTATACTTTCAACGTTAGTGTGTAGGTCAGCCAGAAAAGTGTTAATGCGACGCTTGTAAAGAGAGCACACCCCTCTTATTTAGCTCCACTCTCCCATGCTCATATTAAGCATTAGTATATCCATAATAAACTGACATTTTAAGACAGCGGAAAAATTGACCAGAAGTACCAAAAAATCGATTGCATATATGCTTTGAGCTAAAGAATATTTCATGCACAGAGAAGTCATACAAGAAATCATATATATACATACGCACACACACTTACGAATAGACATTATCATCTACACCTCACATAGACAAACTTGAATTATTACACACTTACAGACATAAAGCAATAATTTCTTTTTTTCAGTCTGACTTGGAATCCGTTAGTTTCTTGGAAATTCTTCGAATTCGAACGCCACACATTATAACAGCTGAAGAAGACCGGAGCGTACAATGGCCGAAACCTTGTGATAAATATGGCAACAAAGATGAGGACAATAGTCCAAATAATGTAAATAGTGTACATAATACCTCATCTCAGAAATATAGACAGATATATATATATATATATATATATATATAACAAATCCATTGGTATATAATCCAAGTGGATCCTAGTAATAAAAGATTATTAAAACTGATCCACAAAAAGAGCTCAATGTATTTATTATAAGAGAACCAAAACATAATGTTACACAAAAAATCCAGACTTACCGCTTATGGAGGAGATAGATCTATTTCAACCAACGAAAACTACGTTAGTCTTATTCAACCACGTATACAGACTGAGTTCGTGTCGGAATTAGAAATTTAGCTTTGACACCCGTCAAAATATTGATACAGAATTTATATATTTCCATGTTTCAGTCTGAAGAAATGCCCAAGATGGTGGTTAGGGGTAGGTGGAAGGTATTAGACTTAAAGGGAAGAGGTTTTATAAAATTAAACCCGGATATTAACCTTATGGCACTAAATTGGAGTTATATGAAGAATTGCAACTAAAAAAGGACCGAAAAAGTTTGTTTTATAAAACAAAATTAGGTTCCTAGTTAAAAATATTCCTCACCAGATTAATTAATATATATCTAAAAGATTAAATATATATTGTATTTATATAATTTATATAAAATTTAAGTGAGAATATATATTTTAAGAAATTCATTAAAAAACGAAAATATATTTAAAAATAAAAATATAAGATATAATAAATTATAAAGTTTTAACTTTAAAGATAAGTTAAATCAAGATATATGAAGAAAGACCAAACCATACAAAATTATATTTTAAAAATTTAACAAAAAAAAAAACAAAAAAAAACTTAAAAATATATATAGATAAAGATGTGTAAGTGATAAAAGGAAAGAGAGTTCTTAGAACAGGGGACAATTATAAGAGATAATTAATTTGGGGGAAAAGTGTAAATATAGAAATTGGAAATAATTATACAGTCGACATTCGAAGGGAATTATAAATTTTTTTTTTTTTTTTTTTTTTAAGCATTTCACCCCAAGCAAGGCGGGGAGCCACTAGGACGCAAGGGGTTACAGAAAATAGGAAGATCAGATAGGAGTGATAGAAGAAAGGATGAGGGTAGTAGATAGATTAAGGCAACTGGAGATGTCGATTGACATTACACTTGAATAGCTGGAGACTATAACTCTCAGGGAAACAGGAGAAGGGAAGAGAGTTCCACAGGCGAGAGGTGCGAGACATGAAGCTATTAGAGTAGAAGAGACGGCTACATTTAGGAGTTTCGACAGTGAAGGGGTGAGAGCGGGATGCCAGCCTCGTAGGGCGCTGGAACTCATGAAGTTTGGGAACCAGCGAATGCAGTTCCTCGGAGCAATTTCCATGAAAGTATTTGTAGAACAGACAGAGGGAGGCGACGGTGCCTCTGTGAGAAAGTGACTGTAGACGAGACGCCAGGGTAGGGCCAACCATATTACATATCCGCTTCTGGAGCCTATCAAGAACCCCGAGACAAACAGAAGGGGCACCAGACCATATATGGCAGCAATACTCCATGCAAGGGCGAATTGTGGATTTGTATATCTGGAGGATCGACTCAGGGGAGAAAAACTTCCTAAAATTTGTTTTTATATCGATAGTTTAAAACTAATTCATTCTTTTGATTTAATAGTTACAAAATCTCTGTTTCCATTCCCCGGCAGAAATTTCAATGTAAACATTATAATTTAACATAATTTTTTTGGGGGAAATAGTTGCTTGGTATATAACTTTAGTAGATCTGCATTTGCCCTCAACCTGGCAGTTTTCTTTATCTCTACAATTACAGAAGGGTTCCATACGAGTTTTGTTATTTATCCCATAGAACTTACTTACAATTTAAGAGAGTTGATAATTTTGTCCGTCATTGGAGCAGGAATAGCTAATTTTAATCGTTTTTCTATTGAAGATCTTACTTAGAATTTTGTCTCCGTGAAAATGTTTATTAACTTTAGAAAATACTGTCCGATATTTGCCAGTGTGCAGAGGGGTGTGGGGTAAATCAGATATTTTTTTTCTTTTTCTATTTCTCTGCCTACATTTAAATTTAGATATTTCCGTGTTACTTATGGCGGCTAAATAAGTTAATATATATATATGTATATATATATATATATATATATATATATATAAAGTATATAAACTTTATTTCTTGATACTCTTAGCTATAGTGAGATCATTGATGTCACAAAACGAATTTGTCAAACTTATGAAGCTATTGTCGATAAATAAATCAAATTTGGTTTTTCTGCCATTCTTCTCTGTATCTAAGGAAAAGAAGAAAGAAAGAAAACTCGAATAACTTTCTCCAAGCTGCTTCCATCATTTTCCTAACATTTGGTTATCTAACTTCCCATTCCTACATAAAAGTAGTTAACAGAAACATTATGAAAAAAAAGAGAAGAAAACGTGGAAAATATGTTCACATCATTAAATTTCTATGCAAGATATCACGAGGCGTAATTTTCTGGCCCGGGTTTTTTTTATTGTTGAGCTGTAAATATGCCGCAGATTTGATCTCATATCGAAATTGGAAAACACTAAAGAAACTGGATGTTGACAAGAAAAGAATATGAATTCAAATACAACGGATGATTATTCTTTCAAAAAAATCGAAATATTTGCAAGCGATATTAAAATGGTTTGTCGCACAATTGCAAATATGATTTCTTATTCCATTACTTACCACGTTCTTAGAATAATTCGGATTAAAAAATCCCCAGATATAAATGTGACAGAATTAATAAAAATGATGGTCTCTTACACTGCGCATACGTGTCCCGTAAAGATGCTACAAGGCATAGTTCCTCACACCTTCTTCATATTTCTTGTAGCACGAAATACTTCTTGATGACACTTCTTCTTTGTAATAGTTGTTCCTCCATCTGTTCGCTGTTCCTCCATCTATTTACTGTTCCTCCGTCCATTCGCCGTTCCTTTGATGATCCTTCAGTCATTTGCTGCTTCCTCTATCTATTTTGATGTAGTTGCGTCCATTTGCTGTTCCACCGTCAATTTGCTGTTCCCCCACATATTTGCTGTTCTGCTACATATTTACCGTTCCTCCATCTATTTCCTGTTCCTCCATCTATTTGTTGTTACTCCGTCCATTTGCTTCCCTACATCTATACCTTTCCTGTGCCTCCACATATGTGCTGTCCCATCCGTCCATTTGCTGTTCCTCCATCTATTTGCAGTCACTCCGTTTATTTGCTTTTCCTCTACCTATTTGCTGTTCCTCCACACATTTGCTGTTCCTCCATCTATTTGATGATCCTTCAGACATTTGCTGCTTCCTCCATCTATTTTGATGTATTTGCGTATATTTGCTGTTCCACCGTCAATTTGCTGTTCCTCCACACATTTGGTGTTCCTCCATCTATTCGCTGTTCCTCCGTATATGTGCTGTACCTCCATCTATTTGCTGTCCATCTGCCCATTTACCCTCTATATGATGCTTCTTTCATATATTTACTCTTCCTCCATCTCCTTGCTATTCCTTTGTCCATTGGCTGTTGTTCCGTCCATTTGCTGTTCCTCCAACCATTTTAAAATATGGTTCCCGTTCTTTCCCGCCGTTCCTGTAATACTTGGTTTTCAGTTTTAAGCTGTCTCTTTTCCTTTTTTTTTTGTTTCTTTAGTCATTACACCCCAAACAAGGCGAGAATGCTACCAAGTTCAAGTGGAGAGAGGGTAAAAAACAACAATAAAGAAGGTTTTAGTAAGAAGAAAAAACAATAAAAAGACAGGTTCCAGGAAAACAGATGACGATTGTCCTTGCATTTAATCTTTTGAAGAAAGTAGATGTAGTTATTATGACAGTTGATAATTTTGTCCGTCATTGGAGCAATAATAGGTAATTTTAATCGTTTTTATATACGGTAGGGAAGCAAGAATCTAGAAGAGGGGTGCGTGAAAAGAAATTATTAGAATAGAATATAGGACTATTTCTAGCTATTACAACAATAGAATAATGATACCACGTTACCAATCTAGTAATACGCTTATATTCATGCAGTCCAGGTACCAAGCGTGTGAACGCATTAAGTACCATTTACTTTATAGTTACTACTAGCAGCATGGCCCGGCGTTGCCCGTGCTTGATTCAAAATTCGTACGACTCATACAGCAATCGCTATCACGTGACTTAAAATATGTTTGCCCTTCCTTGCCTTTTTCCGTGCTGATGTTGCTACATGCCTTACTTCTTGCCTTGCCTGCGAATTTTTCTAAGCTCTATACTAACCATTGCGATCGATACGAAAAAGAATTTAAACAAAAGTTTGAAAATATCAGCTTTTAAATGTGAAAAACAAATGAAAAAGAAAATTTAAGAATCAATCCCTGTATTTATAAAAGTTTGAGAATATCATTAAATGTGACAAATAAAGAAAATTTAAGAACAAATTTAAGGCAGGATATATGTGTGTGTGTGTGTGTGTGTGTGTGTGTGTGTGTGTGTGTGTGTGTGTGTGTGTAACGAATGCACGGCCGCAATTTTCGACGGATTTGCATCAAAATTTACATGCACATACTCCAAGTTAGCAGAAAGGCCAAGGCCGACGTTGAATTTCCCAACTCCCATCGAAAATTTCATGCTTCTACAGCAGTTTTCATGTAGTTTGCGACCATTTTCTACTAGCCAGAGTGAGAGCCTATAGCTGGCTGCCATGAATATGCAGGAAGATTCTATTGGCCAGCGTGAGAGCCAACAACTGACTGACACGAATGTTAACTAGCATGCTAGCATGCAAAAAAATCGATAGCTGCATTCGTCACAAGTGGGAAAAATTTAAATCTGCATGGCACTTTACTCCAATTGGCTCATTCGCTTGCTTAAACTCAACATTGATTCTGATTCCGCAGAACTGTGTTGGGTGTGAAAAAGTATTTGTTGCATTAGGTTTTTCCAGTTACGAATCCTTTTTTAAAGCTGATCGTTTTGTGTTCATTTTGTTTAGTTCTTTTATCGTGACAGATTTAATGTTTAGTATAGAGCTTGAAAAAATTCGCAGTGTGAGATAGGCAAGAAGTAAGGCATGTAGCAACATCAGCACGGCAAAGGGCACTCCTTTAAAGGCAAGGAAGGGAAAAATATGTTAAGTCAAGTGATAGCGATTGCTGTATGAGTCGTACGATTTTTGAATCAAGCACGGGCAACGCCGGGCCATGTTGCTAGTATTGGAATAAAAGTTTCATGGTATTAATATATTTTTGCAGCATATGTTATGTATTTGTGAATTTATTTTTTACGTAGATAGTTGTCAATAGTGCAGTAATAGGCTTTGTTTTTAACACATTAACGTCTCCCTTTCCGGATTGTTTCAATCTTATATTTTTGGCTAGTCCGTAAATAAAATTAACCAATTTTTACGTATCCCCGATATAAAAAAATGTTTAATGATTCAAATATAAACGGTCAATATTTAACTGTTCGCGAACTACGTAAATATTTCGAAAGTCAAATATAAACATCAGTATTTACCTATTCCCGAAACGTGTAAGGGGTTATAAAGTCAAAATTAAACGACAAATATTTACCTATCCCCAAAATGATTAAATGTTTATAGACTTTGAAATTATAAATTTATAGACTTGTAAATGTATAGACACCTCTTCTTCAAAAATTGAAAGTTTATCTGGATGAATTTTAAAACGGATTCAACCTTACCTATCAAATCGTGAAACTTTTTTTTTTTTTTTTTTTTTGAGTGGCCTCCCTACTGGAGCTTTTTACATTAAAGAATCTATCCTTGCACCTTACCTATCAAATCGTGAAACAAATGTTTTTTTTGAGTTGCCAACCTGCTAGAGCTTTTTGCATTAAAGGATCAATCTTTGGACTTTGCCTATCAAATTGTGCAACAAATGTTTTTTTGAGTGGCCACCCAGCTAGAGCTTTTTACATTAAATGATCTATCCTTGGATCTTACCTCTCAAATCGTGAAACAAATGTTTTTTTTTTGAGTTGCCACCCTGCTAGAGCTTTTTGTATTAAAGGATCTATCGTTGGACTTTACCTATCAAATCGTGAAACAAATGTTTGTTTTTTTGTGTTACCACCCTACTAGAGCTTTTTGCATTAAAGTATCTATCCTTGGACCTTACCTATCAAATCGTGAAACAAAAGTTTTTTTGAGTTGCACCCTGCTAGAGCTTTTTGCATTAAAGGATCTATCTTTGGACTTTACCTATCAAAACGTGAAACAAATGTTTTTTTTGAGTGCCCACCCTACTAGAGCTTTTTGCATTAAAGGATCTATCCTTGGACCTTACTTATCAAATTGTGAAACAAATGTTTTTTTGAGTTACCACCCTACTAGAGCTTTTTACATTAAAGGATCTATCCTTGGACCTTACCTATCAAGTCCTGAAACAAATGTTTTTTTTGAGTGCCCACCTAACTAGAGCTTTTTACATTAAAGGATCTATCCTTGGACCTTACTTATCAAATTGTGAAACAAATGTTTTTTTGAGTTACCTCCCTACTAGAGCTTTTTACATTAAATGATCTATCCTTGGACCTTACCTATCAAATCGTGAAACAAATGTTTTTTTGAGTGGCCACCCTACTAGAACTTTTTGCATTAAAGGATCTATCCTTGGACCTTACCTATCAAGTCCTGAAACAAATGATTTTTTTGAGTGCCCACCTAACTAGAGCTTTTTACATTAAAGGATCTATCCTTGAACCTTACCTATCAAATTGTGAAACAAATGTTTTTTTGAGTTACCACCCTACTAGAGCTTTTTGCATTAAAGGGTCTATCCTTGGACTTTACCTGTGAAATCGTGAAACAAATGTTTTTTTGAGTTACCACCTTACTAGAACTTCTTGCAGTAAAGCATCTATCCCTGGTCCTATGCCGTTCCTAATTTATTAAATGATATTTACGATGTCGTCAAGTATCAACTCGGTATCTATAACAAATGACACATTTATTTACTCCTGCCTCAATGGTAAGTCTGATCGGTTCGATGAGGTCGAATTGGGAGCAAAAGTTATCTACAATCTATTGTAAATTGCGATAATAAATGGCTTGTTAATTTTAAAGACTCCAACACAAAAGTACTTTCCCTTAATCGCATTAGCAAAGCTTTTGGCTTTCATCAATATGACCTCCAGGAGACTGGTTGATTACGCCTATTTGACTTGACGTTTTCCGCTCACATGAAGTAAAAAGATGATTTTTAAGAACCTGACGTTCCAAAATTATATAAGAGTTAATAAATAACATATTCTTAAAAGAAAAGAAACATATTTCGGTCTACAATACATTTATTTCGTCTTCGAGTTTTATTTCGAAATAAAAGGAATACAGACTGACGATAGAAACATGAAGTTTTCGAAAGTACTTGCTGCTCTAAAAATATACTAGATCCATCTGACAACAATTTCATACATAAGTACGCGTCCCTCAATGGATTGTAAGTTAATGCTTATATTAAGTCTGTTAGCGAAGTGAATTCGCCATTAATTACATTAATATTTCTAAGTGGTTCATTGTATTACCTCTTTACCGTATAAATTATATACTGCCCAGTATAATACGTGTATGAAAAGCAGTTGATCCGCTGTACGAAATACTGGAAAAGAGTACTACGACATATCACTCTATTAATTGAACTATATACTTAGTTCATGTCACGTTAACTGGAAAACACTTACAACAAAAGAATTACCACATTACAAAATTTATACAACAAATTTCTCACTTGCAATATTTGAAGTTGCAACTTGCACGTTCCAAAATTATATAAACGTTAATGAATAACACATTCTTAAAAAAAAACATGCATGGTCACATGGCCGAGTGGTTACAACGTTCGCATTCTGATCAGGTTCGAATCTCACCATGGGCGATTTTCCAGAAAGGAGTCTTGATTGTATCGGACTGGAGGGGTCAACCTCAGCGTGCGACACCTTTGTAAAATTATACCACGGGTTGACCCAAGCCTTTTGAGTGAAATTGGGGACCGTAGATAACTGTGTCATCTTGACTGAGGGCTTGAACGTGCTGGCATTGTTTACATTCTTGATCCCGCAAGATAACACGCTCATTCCCAGAAACTGTGACTAAGGTCTGGTCTGCATAGTTATAGTAAAAAACCACAGAGCAGGCGTCTGCAACAGGGAGTGGCTATCGCCCTAGTATACATACATGTGTTTCTCTCGTGACGTGCGCAGTCTGTGGCATTGCCTCTTCATTTTGAGGGTACACGGTTGACAGTTTACTGGTTGCTGTTTTCGACTGGTAGTTAGGAGCCCTAACTCTTGCGTAGCGTCTTGAGCGGCCGCTCTGATCAACAGTTGTATAATACCGGGGTGTTTGTGAAGTGCCATGACGCGCATGGATCGGTGTCCCTGCAGTCACCTCCGGTGGGCAACCCTGAGGCCACACTATGATGCAGGCTGTGCCAACTCCTCTCTGCTCACGTTGCGGTCGATAACCATCTGCTTCTCTATACTTCAGGCCTTCTCATCTTCCAACAATCACTAAACATGAAGACTCGATTGAATCAAAAACGTAAAACTAAACCAGCCCCGCAAA